AATAAATAAATAAATAAATAAACAAATAAATAAATAAATGTGAAAACCTCCGAACCGGCCATTCCTTGGAGGAATACGTTACACCCACCACTTTTCATGACAGAGTTTTAATCCCACGTCTTCTGACATTTTTTTTGTATCACAGTTTGTGTTGAGAATGACTCACAGCTACCGCCACGTGAAGTTTAACTCCTTATCTTATCTAGTGTGCTGTGTAAACCATCCTGATAAGGACTTACTCAAAATGATTTATCCTGTTGTTTTGCCTGTGTGGGTGATYAACATATCAGAATAACTGAAACAGAAGGGATTAAATCACCATCCAGAAAGAGTTGAAACGTTTTGATTCAGAAGACTTGCTTCACAGGAAATGAGTGGAGCTGTTATCTCAGCTGGCAGGTTACATAACGAATTGTTTTGGGAAATACAGCAGAATAAGGTAACCTGTGAAAATATTAAATTGTACTTTTCCACATTAATGCAAAGCAGATGCAAACATGAGCAGTTTTACTATTCAGAAAGTATTCTGTTGAGCCTTTAAATATATTTGTGCAGATGTAAGATGTTTCGGTGACTGTATTTGATGAGCCTGGTGTGTTTCTCGCAGGTTTCGGAGTAACGGCACCGTCCACCYGAGCAGGGAGGGCTCTGCTTGTGTTCTACGGGTTGTTGGGCTGCTCGGCTTCAATGCTCTTCATCAATCTCTTCCTGGAGAGGCTCCTAACAGCCATCAGCCTCTTTATGTTCTGGTGCCACACAAGAAGCGGTGGACAAACTGACCTAGAAGATGGAACCAGCGAAGACAACACAAGTGATGACTGGAGACCATCCGTTTACCAAATCACACTCCTTCTTCTTCTGGTGGTTGTGGTGGTTGCGTGCGGCGCTGCATCCCTGTACTCTGCCATGGAGGGGTGGACTTACCTGGAGTCGCTCTATTTCTGCTTTGTAGCGTTCAGCACAGTGGGTTTTGGGGACTTTGTGAGCAGTCAGAAGAAGCACCACGAGGACATCCAGGTCTATCAGATGTCCAACTGTCTCCTGATGCTGCTGGGAGTCTGCTGCACGTACTCTCTGTTTAACGCCATCTCCGTGATCATCAAGAAGGGGCTTAACTGGACCCTGAGCGCTGTGAATTGTATCGCACTCAAGAGGATCCAAACCAGAACTTTATTTGAACCCTGTCTTTCTGATTCTGAACCACAAATACGTTTCTGGGAAATGGACTTTTTGAAGGAACAGATGCTGGGAACAGCTGCTACTTCAAACCAAAACCCACCAGACTGCTGCTGAAGTACTGTCTGCAAAACAAGAACAAGACAATTATTTAACCACTGAAACCACTGCCTAATTGGTTGAAGTAAGACATTTCTGAAGTTACCATCAAAGTCAAACACTGCAAGTTGTTTCTCCAGTTATTGTAAATTTCACATGTTCACAAGACAGCTCCAAGATGTCTTTTATATGAGTTCCCTTCAACAGCCATCATTTATAGAGAAATGTAAAAAAATAATAATAATAATTCTCTAAAGAAGGAAACAGAAACAATCTAAAGATGGCTAAAACTCAAACCGATGTTGTCGTTTCTTTTTATTCATGTGTAAAATACAAGCTAAAAGGTGTTGCTCTTCTGCGTCACAAACAGATACAAAATGCATCTCTTAGCATTGTGAAATTAAAGAGTCTGTGTTATCAGATTTAGCTCCACTATCTGTTCTCTGCATTGTCATATTTACAAAGCAAATAGACAAACTCGTTCAGACAAACACAGAGTGAGCTTGGAAATAGGGAGCGAGGGGAGGGATTGCATGCATTATCCCATGACGCAGTTACATTTAGCCTCATTTGTTATCTTCTGGATGTGAAACAGTCTCATGAAAGCTTCTACAATCACAAGCTTTCATTATTAATACGAATATTATGAACGCAAACAGCAACAACAGAAATTTAGACACTTTTTGACAATAAATTATATTTTGCTGTCTTTTTGTGCAGGCAGCAGTGCAGCAGATTGCTCCTCTTCCTCTGTTTCTCATGGTGAGACACAAATTAGCACTCAATAAGTTACAAAAAATATACACAAATATGGTAAAAGGCAGAATCAAACTTTTTTGCCTTGGAAGTTAATGACATATATAAGATAAATGGTGTTTTTTTTTCTCTCTCTAAATGCATAATACCTGATTTAAATACAGTGGTTTGCAAAAGTATTCATACCCCTTGAACTTTTCCATATTTTGTCACATTACAACCACAAACCACCAACACAAAGTGATATACAATTGTGAAGTGGAAGCAAAATTTTACATGAATCAAAACATTTTTTACAAATAAAAAACTGAAAAGTGCGATGTGCAAAATTATTC